ACCAGTGAGCCAGCACCCACTGTGTATGTCTCCCTCCCATCCGTTATCCCTCTCCTCATCCCTGCCCCAGGCCAAGCTGAGAAATCATCACAGGCCAGTCTGGGATCTGGGAGAATGCAAAAACCAAGAGATCACCTTTTCATGGCAGAGAGCAGCTCCTGTGGCTTCTCAGCTTCTTCCTGGGAAGTTCTCCTAGCTGAGGAACCAGGAGACAGTGTAATGTCATGTGGGAGAGTTTCAGGGATATCTATAGGAAGCTGTATGCCTTTGACTCTCTTTGAGAGGGGACAGAAAACCCTAAAATGTCAGTGCTCTAACATACCTCTGTATACTTATTCTCTATACTTGATCTTCACAACTACACTGAGTGAGGGAAGATCCTCAGATGCCCATTTTATGGAGGACAAGACTGAGGGACGAAGTGACTTCCAGAGGGCTGTAAAACTAGTAAATGACACAGTTAAGGACATCTGCCCTAATTCCTCAATTCTTTATTCCCATGGAAATAATGTAGATAATTTTGGAATATTTCCAAGTTCTGATTTCCCACCCACAGAAATTTTCTGTGAAAGTTGTCTATTTGGGAAATGGAGCCTTCAGTGGTTGAGAGCACCTGGCACTGGGGTCATAGAGGGACTGGGTCCATGGGAGTTTCACCCACAGTGGAAGAGAGTCAGAGGACAGACTGGGACTTTACCTCTTAATGCTGCATCTCTAGCCCTTTGCCTGTCTTTCCGGTGACGCTTAAAGACAAAAACATTAGAATGTCAAGCTGGGACACTATTTTCTTTTTCATATCCAAAATGAGATGAAGCTTATATACATTTCCCACTCCCTTTCTACATTTCTGTTTGTATTTTATACTCGGCTACATTTCTTTTATCTACTTCACCTTTCTTCACCCCAACATTTTCCTTCTCTGCTGATTTCTGATTTGCTTTGAGGCTTTTCCAAACTCTATACCTCCCATCCAATTCCCAGGAAAAGTTCTGCTGGCAACTGATGATGAAGTAAAGGAAAGAACAGAACAGATTAAAGGGCATGTGTTTCTAATAGTCGATTGACTCCAGTTTTAAAATGCCTTAAGGGACCTCCAACTAGAAAAATCCCACACATTGGGAGGATTTCTGAGATCCCATATCATATAGGTCTCTACTCAAGTCAAATAGAGAGGTTCTTGGCTTTTCAATTAGAGTATGCTGCAAAGAAGGCCTGGTAAGGAATTACTTCCACATTCTGAGATGAAAAGACTATATAAAAGTAACTGAAAAAATAGCATAAAAATTGGTGGGGAGGGGTTATAAGGAGAGACACCAAGAACTTAAAAGTTTCATATCTGAGGCTTAATTAGTTCAATTGTGGTGATAGTGTTTCCCTACCCGGCAGCAGCTCTTTTTAGGTTCCACCTTCAATCCATTGTAATTCCTTTTCACTTGCCAGATAATTAGGATAATGATGAAGATGGAGGCATAGGTATATAAGAGATATCCAACATCCTCCAGAGTAAAAGTAGGGCTCAGCATGGCCTAAACCTCATTAGCATGAAGAGGCCAGCCTTCCCTATTATTGAGGCATTCAGGGTCCTGGTCCCTAATGACTCGCAATGCTAGGCCTTGTCATGTCCACCTCACAGAAGACGGAACCAGGCCACCAGTCTGCATCACAAAGCCCTCCTGTTTCTTAAGGCATGTGTAGTAGAGAAGCTTATATAATGTTTCGGTACATAAATGAGGGTGTCTGGTTATCTTTAAAGGTTACAGAGCCTGGGACTAAAGGTGCCATGCTTGCAAGCAGTGTCTGTTTCCCACTTTCTCTTTGCTCTTTATCCCCTACACCAGACTGGTGGCTTGGCTCTCTCCTTCACAACAACTTTCTTGCCACCCATCCTCAGAAAAATGAGGGCTTTGGCATACAAGGCACCTTATGAGAAAAAGTGGTTGGGACAAAGAAACGTCCACCAACTCCCCCTCTTGTCCTGGATATATACCTGAGAAATACATGGGAGTTTAGGGAGGGCAGTGTCTGCTTATGGCTTGGACATGTAGAGGTTTGATTTTTCAGTCAAGGGATGATCAGTCACAGAGATGCAGGAAGGGGACCATGGCTGATGTGGCAGAGAAATGCCAAGGTGGCTGTGTCTACCTAGTCTGGCCTGAAGCTTGAAGATGGGTGGGAAGAGATTGTAAACACTGTCTTCCACTGAGGCACAT